AATTCGTTGTCTGACTGGTAGTCAGTGTAGTCTACGAAGAACTGGTGTTATATGTTCTGAGCTTCGAGTTCTAGTCACCGGTCGAGCTGCGCAGTTTTGTATGTACTGTAGCCTATCAATAACCGATTGGGGTAAGCCATATAGAAGAGCATAACGGAAATCCAACTTAGATGAAATAAATGCATGAACAAGTGTGTCAGCATTATCCTGAGAGAGACAGTTTCTTATCGTTGCTTTATTTCGTAAATGATAGAAGGCCGTTTTGCAGGTGTTCATAACATGTTTCGCTAAGTTGACATGGGAATAAAAAATTACACCTATATTTCTAGCTTTATTAGAGACTTCAATGTATTCACCAGCCACATGAATACCCTTAATAGGTGGGTTGACTTTGTGCTTTGGTCCAGTCACTAGGAGCTCAGTTTTATCCCTGTTCAGCTTTAACACGTCTGCAAGCATCCATGCATCAAGACTCAATTGCTTGCACTGAAGCCGCTTGATCATGAAGCTTGAATGAGCAGTAAAGCTTGGTGTCATCAGCGTAGAAATGACAAGATAGGCCATGACTTGTGACAATATCGCCAAGCGGGGACGTGAACAATACATACAACAGGGACCCCAGTACAGATCCTTGGGGCACGCCACACCGCAGGTCCTTGCTACACGATGTTGCCCCCTTCACGTTGACTTCTTGTTTACGATTCTCAAGGTAGGACTTTTACATTGTTTCTGCGATTGACAATCAGTCCCATATTATTTTACGACTCCTTGACCTGTCTGCAGCTTTTAACACGGTGGATCACAAGATTCTTCTGCAGAGACTCTCTTGTCGCTTTGGTATTAATGGCAAAACCCTGCGCTGGTGTCAAAAGCCGCAGACAGGTCAAGGAGTAGTAAAATAATATAGGACTGATTGTCAATTGCAGAAACAATGTCATTATGAACTTCACAAGCGCTGTTTCAGTGCTGTGGAAGGTTTTATAGGCTGATTGCAAGCTTTCTTCTAAATCATTATCCCTTAAGTAGTTGAGTTGGTACGAGACTGAATTCTCTGTCATCTTGGAGATAAATTTTAAGTTAGAAATAGGTCTAAAATTGGAATAAACTTCATGGACAAGGGACTCTTTCTTTAGTTTAGGCCTTATCATGGCTTCCTTTATTTGCACCGGCACATTAAAAGTTTCAATTGATATGTTGATCATCTGAGTTAAAACGGGCAACAAAATGTCCATGCAATCTTTCATTTTTGATGCTGGAAGAGGGTCTAAAATGCAGGTCTTCAGGCGTCAGGAGTTGATTAAACTCTTTACCTGGTCTCCTGCCACGCGTTCGAACTCAGTGAGTTCAGCACTGCAGGCCTGAGCATCCACAAGAGAATTGGCGACCGGTGTATATCGAGCAATAAATCATTTCTTATAACTTCGATCTTTTGGCAAAAAAAATCAGCAAATCTATTTGCTAGCACCTCAGAAGATGGCGCGGTTGGGTAGCACTTCTCAATGTTACGGTGGAGGAGCCGGGTAACTGTGTTAAACAAGACCCTTTGATTGCCTTTATTTTCTTGTATGATGTTGGAGTAATAGTTTTCCTTTGCTTTCTTGATAAGAGAATTGACGACTTTGCATTGTTCGTTGTATAATTCTCTGTCAATAACCGGGTGTGATTTGCACCAGCGCCTTTCTAATTTCCGTCTTTTTCTCTTTCCTCGGTCAATGTCACCATTATACCAGGCAGCAGAGGGTCTCACCGTGATCGTTTTTCTCCGGAGCTTTGATGTCAAGTACTCTTTTTAGTTCAGTTTCATATTTATCGACTAGCGTTGGTAGATCAGTTATGTTTTCTTGCAAGACAATGGAATCCCTCAAGTCCTTGCACAGAGCACTCATATGAACAGATCGCAGTTTACGGTATCTAATTTCATGCTGTTCAGCTCGAGGCTTGATTCTCAGTGTGCAGTGCACAGCAAAATGGTCCGACAATGTAGGATCTCTGACCACGATACCATCCACTAGGTCGTCTTCGGATCGAGTGATGATTAGATCTAGGGTGTGTCCCCTAGAGTGGGTGCGCGTGACATGTTGCTTCAGATTGAAAGAATCTAGCAGGTTGTGAAGCTTGGTTGCATCGGTGTTATTACTGCCGTCAAGATGAAAATTAATATCACCCACAATCAACAAGTTGCCTGAAATTGGAACAAGCTGCTCGAGGAGGTCCGCGAAGCCTTCGAGAAACGCTTTGATCTGCGACGATGGAGGTCGGTAAATGACAACGAATCTTATGCTTCCGATGGGATATTGAGAAAGCGCAACCACATCCTCAAAGGAACTAAAATTCGCTGAACACAGCTCCTTAACTCGAAGTGATTTCTTAACTGGTATACCAACTCCAGCTCCTCTTGAGTTCTCTCTGGGAGTATGATGGAAAATATATCCTTTCGGGCATAACTCGCCAACAAAAAAGTTGTCACTCTCCCCTGAGTGAAGCCAAGTTTCCGTTAAGGCAAGGAAGTCAAGATCATGCTCAACGGTGTAGTCCTTGAGTGACAGTGCTTTGTATTTAACAGATCGTACATTCCATAAACAGACATCTAATGACTGCGACAACGTCAGCGACGACGAGTTAGATCTTGTGGAATTAATTTTTATCTAGTTTGATTCATCACATGTGCGAAAGCAGCTGGTCGTTTTTTTTGGGGGGGTCAGTACATCTGACAGGAATCTTACAAGTGCTTTTGCTAATCGACCCTGGCCAAAAATGAACATCGCCACTTAGAGAGATCGTCTAAGCATTGAAATTGAACGTTGCTACTGAGTTTGGATAGTACGCAATGCGGGCCTTGAACCTTAATCCATCTTGTATGCTAATTTTAATCACTTCATGGTTTGTTGAAGCTGACCAGCTCTGTCATACAGAATTTGTGAAAAATTAAAGCAAATTACTGCACGAAGATGCAATCCAAGGCAGTGCTTTGTTCTTCTTACCGTCACAAATGCCAAGGATGAGTTGTCAATAGATTTCGATGCCAGTTGGAGCAAGACAACCAACCAAAACGAGGGACCTAAAAGCACGCAGCCGGCCGTCATAACGATATGCAGAAAGTCATGCGTTATGCGTTAACTTTGTATGAGCAAGATGTGGAACTAATTAAAAAAGATGGTCAAATACTACTCAGATAATAATTTCAATTCATGTTTTTAATTAAATATGTTTTGTAATCATCAAAATTATATAACATATATTATAGATTAACAATGACAAGTTATCATTCTTTTGGAGGTCAATTAGAAAAGCTTTCGAGAGCTTATAAAAACAACTCCGCGATTACCATTCGATTGACTAAAAATGAGTTAAGTGGTCCACATGAATTAATGATGACAAAAATTCAGATCAATAAAATAAAGGAATCCATGAAAAATGGTGTTGGTACTGATATAGAATTTCGGAAAACACAAATCAAAAAATCTGTTGAATATGGAGGTAGTTTGTGGGGATCATTTATGAATTTAGGAAGTAGGTTGTTACCTATGGCAATACCATTAGCTAAAAAGACTATTGCACCGATTGCAGCAGGTGCTTTATCCGGCTTAGTCAGTCTTGGTGTGGACAAGATTTTTGGTAAAGGTCAAAGAGGTGGTTTCATGATACCACAAAATAAAATAGATCAGTTAATTAAGTATAAGAATCTCCTCACAGCAGGACAAAAGAAACAGATTTTGGAGGCTTTACAGACTGGTGGGCAACTGGTTACCAACCTTTAGGTATTGAATTAGCTTCTAAAATAATTCAGTAAAGGATTGCAAGTCGATAGAAGTGGTTCCAGTTATACAATTCCAGTATATGTTCCCTCTAAAATAGATGGTGGACTAATAAACCCATATAACTTGATGTCTCCCTCATTTTTTGAAACATGGAAAAATCCAATTGGTATGGGAGTGAAAAGGAAAAAAAAATATAAAAGAAGAGGAGAGGAAAAGGACTATTAGCAAGCATGTTGGGTATTCCAAAAGATAAAAAATGGAATTCAGTCTCATTATTCGGACAAATATTCTAAAATTCATAAACAAACTATTATCAAACCATGATTTATATCAATGGATTGCATTGGCAAATTGAAAATAAAACATTTCAGATAGGATCAGGAACTCATTGGGTTTGTTATCAAAATGTAGACCGTCATTTATGTGAATATTTCGACCCATTTGGATTGATAATGCCAAATGATATTAAAAATTATTTGAAAACAAGTGGTAAAAAAATTATATATTCAATAGATGAAATACAAGAAAGAGATAGTGTATTATGCGTTTATTGGTGTATATCTTTATCTTTTGGAGAGACAAAAAGGTAGATCAATATTAAATGCTATACATAATACCAAATTCAGTTTTACAGATCAAATGATAAATCACAAATTTTTAATAAGATATTTCAAAAATATATAATATATATGCATAATGGTGAAATCGTATTGTGGTGTGTTTGGCCAGCGGCCAATACACTTTGAGCATGCGCACTTATGCGCCATTCCGAAGCGTAGTCCGTTCGAATCAAAGACATGACATTGGCGACGAGGTAAAATTCAAGAAATTATGACCACTATTGGAAAGATAGAGAGTTTTGATGACACAAAAGAGAACTGGGAAACCTATGTGGAACGAGTAGAGCAGTTTTTCTTGGCGAAGGACATCGATGATGACCATAAACTTCCAACTTTGTTGAGCTTGATCGGCGGGAAAACCAACACTCTGCTGAGGGATCTTCCTGCAGCGGAGAAGCCAGCTACCAAGTCCTTTCAACAGATATTTACTACTCTCCAGGAGCATTTGAGCCCGAAGCCCTTGGAAATTGCTGAAAGATTTCGTTTCTACAAGAGAAACCAACATGAAGGAGAAAGCATTTTGTCTTACGTGGCCGAGCTAAGGAAGCTAGCGACACACTGTAATTTTGGCGGGAATCTGAACGAAGCGCTACGAGATAAACTGGTCTGTGGACTTCGAAATATGCAGATCCAAAAGCGATTACTGTCAGAAGCCAAACTGAAGTATTCCAAAGCTGTGGAGATTGTTGTAGCAATGGAAACTGCCATCCGCGATGCCTCAGAATTACAAAGTGAGCTCAACCCCAACCCAGTCCCTCACGTTGACAAGTTGACTGAACACAACAAACCAACACCAGCGAAACCGACGACCACCCCCCCTTGCTACCGCTGTGGTGGGAACACACATATGACACACAATTGTTTTTACAAGGACCAGATCTGCCACCACTGTGGAAAACAGGGCCATATCCAGCGAGTTTGTCGTTCCAAACAGCAAGGCAAGCCTAAGCAAGCAACCAAAACCCTAAAGGTACATGCTGTTGAGTTGAGGTTGATGTTGATGCATATGAAGATATATTAGCCACTTTCGAGGTACACAATGTGAGGAAAAAAAGCAATGATATTCTCTGGGTTGATTTCGATGTTGATGGTAAACCACTTAAGATGGAACTGGACACAGGTTCGGCTGTGTCGATCATCTCGTTTGAAGCAGAAATTTAACAGACTTCCCCTGCACAGAACTGGACTGTCCTTCAAAAACCTACACGGGAGAAAACATTATGCCAGTGGGAGTGCTCAAAGTACCCGTGGATTACCAAAACCAAAGAGAGGTGCTGGACCTGTATGTCGTCAATGCAAGAATAAGGGTCCTGTTCTCATGGGAAGAGATTGGCTACGCATCATAGGCCTTGACTGGTGTTCTATCAAGTTGCTGCAGGCTTCACTAGCTGCCTGAAGTCCTAAAGAGCGTTTGGACGTTATGCTAGACAAGTACTCAGATGTTTTTGAAAATAAACTGGGCACCTTTACATCAGCCAAAGCGAAGTTAACTCTTAAAGACGATAGGCAAGAACTCTTCCTCAAGGCCAGACCGATGCCTTATGCATTAAAGCCGAAGGTGGAGGAGGAATTGCGGAGGCTCCAGAATGACGGTATTCTCACTAAAGTGGAGTGGAGTGAATGGGCCACACCGATTGTGCCTGTCCCCAAGAAAGATGGTTCCGTTAGACTTTGTGGTGATTACAAGATCACAGTGAATCCAGAACTACAAGCAGAGCAGTACCCTCTTCCTCGCATTGAAGACATCTTTGCAAACCTTGCTGGTGGGCAGAAATTCTCAAAGATTAACCTCCGCCGAGCATATCACCAAATAGAGATGGAGATGGAGTCAAAGAAGTACCTCACAATCAACACCCATATGGGACAGTTTCAGTACAACCGACTAGTGTTTGGCATCACCTCTGCACCTGCCATTTGGCAGCGCACCATTGATCAAGTGTTAGAAGGGACATCTGGAACAAGCTGTATCCTTGACGATATGATCATCACCGGAAAGAATGATCATGAGCATCTGGCCAACCTAGAAGAAGTTTTACGTCGCTTACAGGCTCATGGTGTAAGAGCCAACAAGACAAAGTGCGAGTTTTTCAAAGAGGAGATAACCTTCTGTGGACATCATATTGACAGTCATGGTCTCCACAAGTCAACAGAGAAAGTGAAAGCAGTTTTGAAAGTGCCTCGCCCATGCAATGTAGCTGAACTGAGGTCGTTCCTGGGGTTAGTCAATTACTACAACAGATTCTTGCCCAATCTGTCAACAGTGGTACACCCTTTGAACCAGTTGTTAGAGAACAACCATCAATGGAAATGGACGAAACAATGCGAAACAGCATTCTACAACGTGAAAGAAATGATCACCTCAGAGCAAGTATTAACACACTATGATACCAGTAAATGCTTTACAATTACAGCGGAAATTAATGTCCTTCAGCAAGTTTTAGACAGATGCTACAGGTTGCACTTTATATCTACGCAGTTAAATATTAGATCATTACTACAAAAACAAGATAAAGCGATTTTTAAAAAAGTTAAACAGCATGATAACCACCCTCTGAAGGTTTGTTTACCGCGAGAAAAGAACAATTTAACCCACAAACTTAGACGTGAAAGCTGCCAAAGGCCCAAGATAAACAAGATTAATTTTCAAATACAACCTTTTATGATATTTTATGTCACAAATATGTATCAAGTTCTTCACTTTTTAAATCTCTTTATTCTATTGTAATTTAGCTGAACTTTTCATCTTTTTATTCTGTAACATTAGATATGTATTTTATCTAATGAGCAATGAAGACATTTATTATTATTATTATTATTGCAAAATTCCCAAAAAAGGATTGATAAATCTGAAAAATGATGATAATGAATGCTACAGATGGTGTCATATCAGACATGTTAATCCTCAAACCATGAATCAGACAAGCAGTATATAAATAGCTTAAATTATTCTAATACTGAGTTCCCAGTCACTGTCAAACAGATAAACAAAATTGAAAATCAAAATAGCATCAATATAAATGTATTCGGATATGAGAAAATGCAACTATATCCAATACATATCTCAAAAGAGAAATTTGATGATGAAATGAATCTATTATTGATAACAGAACAAAAAACAACGTATCACAATGGAAACGCAACAGACGAGGACAAAAAGATGGGAAATATAGAAGAATCTTGGTGTAAGGATGCTTATAGTTACCGTAAACAGTTAATGAAACACAATTCATGTATAATCAGACGAAACACAAGGAAAAGAAACACTCCTGTATGTATCGTCTACAACAATTTTCAAGTTTGGAAGTGTTAACCAAGCATAAAACTGATTGTATGATTATCAATGGAAAACAAACAATTGAGATGCCGAGGAAAAGAAAAAATATCTTGAGGTACAAAACTTTGACAAACAGATGCCTGTACCATTTGTCATTTATGCAGATTTTGAAACAATAACAGAAAAAGTACAAGGTTGTCAACCGAAAGATAATAAATCATTCACTGAGTCATATCAAAAGCATACAGATTGTGGTTATGGTTACAAGGTTGTTTTTATGATGAAAAGTATAGTAAACCAGTTCCACTATATAGAGGTGAAAATGCTTTTTATAAGTTCCTAGAAAAAACAAACAGTGAAAAAATATTTCAATAGAAAAGATACTGAAAATTTCAATAACGCGGATAAATATCATATATGTGACAAAAAGTACAAGGAAACAGATATACGAGTAAGAGATCATTGCCATATAACAGCAAAATATAGAGGATCTGCTCATAAAGGTTGTAATGTTAACCTGAAGATAGATGCTAACAATATAAATATACCAATAATTTTTCACAATCTTACAGGTTATGATTCTTATTTCATAATGCAGAATATTGGTCAAATAGCAAAAAAGCACGCGTATAAAACTACAAATGGAAATACAAAACAGTTGGATATAAGTGTTATACCAAATAACATGGAAAAGTATATGAGCTTTACACTTGGGAAGCATTTGAGATTTATGGACAGTTTTCAATTCATGAGCAGTAGTTTGGATAAATAAGTCGAAAATCTATCAAATAAAGCGATTAAGTATACAAAACAAGAGTTCAATGTAGAGGAGTTCACGTTGATGAAAAAAAAGGGTGTTAATCCTTATGACTTCATGGACAGTTTTGGACAGGTTTGATAAAAGAGAACTACCTAAAAAAGAGGATTTCTTTACTTTGTTGAGAGATGAGAATATAACTGAAGAGCAGTATCAACATGCTGAAAAAGTCTGCGAAACGTTTGCTGTAAAAACAATGGGATACTATTATGATCTCCCTCTAAAATCAGATATCCCTCTTCTCATTGATGTGTTTGAGAATTTCAGAAAGACTTGTCTGCAAAACTACAAATTAGATCCATGCTACTATCCAGGGATATCAGGGCTGACGGTTGATGTTGATATGTTCCAATTCATTGGAAAGGGGATGAGGGGTGATACGTCATACATTGCAAACAAATTTGGAAAAGCAAATAATAAATATATGGCAAAGTTTGATAAAAGCAAACCATCAAAAGGTTGGTAATATCAATCTAGCAAAGTATACAGAAGAAAGCAAAAGGGAATTGATATTGGAGGTTGATCTCGAATATCCTCAAGAGCTGCATGACCTTTATTATGATTATCCGCTCGCTGCTGAAATAATAAAGTTAAAAAAGAAATGCTATCACAGTGTTGCGAGAGGATAAGAAAAAGTATGGGATCACCATCGGTCAAGTTAGAAAGCTGACTTCAACGCTGAAGGATAAGAATAATTATGTTCTTCATCACAGAAACCTCCAATTGTATTTAGATCTTGGATTTAAAATAAAAAAGGTTCATAGAGCTTTGGAGTTTTATCAATCACCTCGGTGAAAAAAGTATATTGATTTCAATACTGACATGCGCAAGAATGCAAACGATTTTGAAAAGGATTTCTTCAAGTTGATGAATAATTCTGTATTTGTAAAGACAATAGAAAATGTCCGAAAGCGTGTTGATGTGAGGCTTGTCACGAATGAAAAAAAGCTTTTGGAAATAGCTTTAAAACCAACTTTTGTTAGCAGTAACATATTCAAGGAAAATTTAGTCGCTGTTCATAAAACCAAAGAAAAATTACAGCTTTTAAAGCCAGCATATGTGGGAATGTGCATTTTTGATTTATCAAAGACTCTGTACGTTTTCCACTACAATCATATTAAAAACAAATATGGAGACAAAGCCAGATTATTATTCACCGACACAGGCAGTTTGACATATGAGATTGAAGCAGAGTATGTCTATAGAGAGTTTTGCAAGGACATGGACAAGTTTTACAATAGTGGCTATTCCAAAGACTCAGCATATTTTGATCCAACAAATAAAAAGGTAATTGGAAAGTTCAAGGATGAAGCAGCAGGTATGCCAGTAAAAGAGTGATAGAGTTTGTTAGACTTCGATCAAAGATGTACTCTTATATTAAGGACAATGGTGGAGGGCGTTAGACAGCAAAAGGAATAAAGAAAAATGTTATCAGGAAACATATCAAACATAAGGATTACAAAAACACATTTAATTATGAACAAAATTATCACAAGATGAAAAGAATCAGAAGCGTCAAGCATGAAATCAATAGTTATGAGATTAATAAAGTATCGTTATCATGATTTGACGACAAGCGTTGTATCCAGGAAAATGAAGTTGACAGCTATGCATATGGACACAGAGCTATTTTATAAACCTGGTTACAACATGAACACCTAAACATGAACACCTAAACAACATTTCATTTTCATATTGTTCCACTTCATTCTATTTTCATATTATTCCACTTCATTTCCATTAAAAAAGTTTTGAATCCCGATGGTTAAAACAGGATTTGAATGCAAGGACAAAAATTCTATGCAGAGTACCCAACAAAGTGAGAGAGAGATAAATGGATAATCACTCAATAAATACATTTAGTCTAACACAGTATTTGTTTTCATTGTTTGTGTTACAACGGTTGGGGGGCCGCCCGGCCATCGTCGCCTTCGGCTCCTCACCGCCCCCGAGATTTTATCTTTTTTTCCATCCCCTTCTCGTCTTCGCTTCGCTCAGACTGGGGTGCCAAAAAAAAGAATCTCAGCTTCGCTGATTACAATGGTTGTGTTACACGGGGTGTTATAAATGACTAAAATTGAGCCATCGAGATTCTGTTGAATTGGTAAGCCAGTATCAACAGAATCACGCTTCCCACCTAGCTCAACTGAGATTTTAACGCCCCACCATCCCCGTATCTCGGCGATCGCTTGAATCCTTCTCGTGCCTTCGGCACTGCGTCCGATTCAATCGATCTTCCGAGACATGCCGTGGGGCTAATCTCTAAGGCTCCGCTTGGCCCAAGTCTTGAAGCCAACCCAAGAAATCCAAAATTGGAAAAAAAGTTCTGAAAAATACGAGCACATAATACATTGGAAAACTGTGCCAGTACACCCAAGTGCTACACTACGTTCCTACCGTGGGGTTAATCGGACAGCATTTTTCTCTTGGATCCCCGAGAATTTTTCGAAGCATAGTATTGTTTTACAACTTCCAGTTGGCTACCTACCGAGAAAACGTAGAATGATATGTTCGACTGAAGGAGGACTCTTTAAAATCCGTCGCCGGTTTTTTGTCCCAGCAGAAATTTGATGAGCGAGCAAGCTCTTCATCCTAGCGCAAAGAGCTTAAGCGCTTAGTGAATTGAGTTGGGACCTGGGGGAGAACTTGGCGCCATGACTTCGCTGCAGGTTCTATATACAAGAAAATAGGCAAAAACTAATAATAAACTGCCAAACTTTGGCAGCATTACCTTCTGAGGCGCCTTTTGTTGATGAAGAAACGAACGATTAACACAATGGCCCCAACAATTAGAAGGAAAGCAAATGCAGCAATCAGGGAATATTTAGCTTCCGCTGGAAAGCCTAGAAAATAAAAATAAAAGTGTATATCTCAAGTTGCAAATATGTAAGAGAAATGTTTTCAGAGTAGGGTTGTCAAAGGTATTTGAATCGTACTGGCAACCACAGAAATTACCAGATTAAAGCAGTTTTGGGTAAATGTTAGAGATACTTTTATTTAGCGTTTTGTACTCAGCAAACTGATTTTGATTCGGGGCGTCGATGAAAAGAAAGAAAAGGAAGACAGTTTGCTGAGGGCGTTTAGGTTTAGGAGGTATCCTGATAGCAACAGTTCTATACTAGAAAGAGTGTTTTTCTTGATTTGGTTTTCTAACGCTCAGGGATTCACAAATATACAAAAGAGACGCTCTTCATCGTGTTTTATAATTGCCTTTGCAACTAAGTTCATTTAAAAGGCTTTCAAAAATGTTTTTAACTCACCTGTGCGGCCTTCTGTGTTGCCATGAATCATCGGTTCTACACGGAGATTAACAACGCATTCAACTGTTCTGGCTCCATCTGAAGCACCGATGGTAACGTTACAAATAGTTTTTGACGGCAGTGAATTGTTGCTGAAGACGTTTCCATCTTGGTCTACATATAGATCACTACAGGCTCCTTCCTCGTTTTTGACGATAGAATACGTGATAATAGCGTTAGATCCGGAGTCCGCATCGGCGGTTGAAACTTGAAACAGTTGAGATTGGGGCGGTACTGGCTCCTGCAATTTTACCGGTGCGTCACAGTTTGTAAACACAGGGGGTGAATCATTAACATCTTCCACGGTTACAATTACATTCGTCAACGATTGTAAAGCAGGAATGCCATTATCAGTCACCTTGACAGTAAGATTGTATTGCTTCTTTCTTTCAAAATCCAACGGTTTATGAAGAAAAATACTACCATTTTCCGGGATGATGAGAAACGTTTCGTTACTGTTTCCACTGGTGATGTTATAAATTACTATGTTTATAACAGCGTCTGAGTCCGTCGCAGAAACGACAACGACAGTGTAACCAACCGAAGCGTTTTCGGGAATGCTCGCTTCGTAGTTTGGCGCAGAAAAAAATGGTGGAAATTCGTTGACGTCTAACACTGTTATGAATAAATCAGTAGATTTACTAAACTTTCCATCTGTTACTTGGACATGTAAGGTGATGTTACTTATTCTCTCACGATCTAGGTCTCCAATGATACTGATATTCCCGGATGAAGAATCAATCGAAAACATGTCCTTATATTCACCAGCCAAGAGAGTGTAGTTAAGGATAGCGTTGATACCAGAGTCTGCATCGGTGGCTTTCACTTGAAATATAGCAGTTCCATTTGTGTTTTCTAGCACAGAGATGTTATTTCTACAGTCAAAAATTAAACGAAATACATAAGCCAAAGCATGGAAAGAATATTGTACAGTCGACTTCCGATAACTCGAACCCTCGCTAACTCGAACCTCGCGCTAACTCGAACCTCGCGCTAACTCGAACCAATTTTCGTTTTCCCTCAGGTTATTTTCTATACTAGAAATACGTAAATGGCAAGGCCTCGCGAAGGACTTGGGGGGAACTAGTCTGCAGTGTCAATAAAAAATTGTGAGCTATATATAGAAAGATAACAAAACTGTTACACCTAAAATAAAAACTAAACGAAAAGAAAAAGAAAAAAAAAAGAAGAAGAAAAGAAAAGAAATAAGGCGAAGAGAAAAAGGTACTGCACAGTTTCGAACTCGGGCCCTTCGGCGCACCAGGCGAAAGCTTTACCACTAGGCCACGTGGAACACACACAGCTCTGTGGAATTTTTATTATTAAAACCTTCGAGCCTTATTAAACATGAGTTCAAAGATATTTTTTAGAAGAATGACTGCAGTTTGGACAGTGAAAACCCAACGAAAATGCATTTCATCGCATTTACATGTAGAGAATGGAAGCCCAACAGTCTAGGACCATACGGTACAAACTCGTCTGCGAGCAAAAAGTGTTTTGTTACCGCGATGTTCGCTCATATGTTTATAAGGCCAATTATCCATAATCGCTTCCCTTTGCTCTTGAAGAACTTTAGCATTTGAAATTCATTGAGTGATGTTCTCTCTGCTCTGCTGTTTGTTGCTGCCATCTCCATCCATCTTTGTTGCTTGCGCCGTTGAATTTCAAGTCGGCGTTCTTCGCTGGAGGGGATTTTTCGGTGTCATATCTTACCCTGCGAGAATTGACAATTCGGCGTTCTTGTCTTTGCTGTTCTGTTTGCATGAGAAATGGTTTGAGATTCACCGATAGTAAACATTGTTTTGCAGACGATGAAAAGACAGCTCTTCGTGGGTGCTTTGGTCATTGATGGAAATTCGAAATCGCTTTCAGCACAGGTGGCCCAAACTCACGTTACGAGGGAAGGGTGTAATGTAATTTACACACCATAGGTGACGCGCCTACCAACTAATTTGCATTGTGACAATTAGCACTTACACGACGGGTGCAAGCACTCGCTTTTTCACACTGCGAGAGCCTAGTTGACTTGTCATTTCCGACCTGGCACCCGTCGTGTAAGTGCTAATTGTCATAATGCAAATTAGTTGGTAGGCGCAACAGTGGTCACAGGCACTGGACGAAAGCCAGACGTGCCACGAAGTCCGGCACAAATGGCTCGATTTAATGGGGAAATTATCGATCTTTTTTCGAGCCGATCTCCCAGAGAGGAAGAAGAGGTTTCCCTCTTAGGCCGGAGCTGAAAAATTTGCAGCGGATTTTTTATTTCGGCGAAAAAAACGGCATTCTTGTTGCGACTGGTCCAGGACCCCGACAGATCGAAGTGACCAGCCTTCACTTCGTTCTATGAAAGGAGTAACAGTGGTTACGCAATAAAGCCAAAAAAAATAGTGAACGACAATCAAACACCAAAATGCAGTGGAAACATTACAGATAAGTCTTTTTTATTCAGTTCACTTAAGAAAAAGTAAGGTTTAGCGTTATTTAGCGTTCGCAGATCTCCGTACTATATTTCTCATACAAAGACTCATATTTTCAACGGTCGCCTGTAACGCGACACCGGCGCGTCACCTATGGTATGTAAATTACATTGCACCCTTCCCAGGTAACGTGAGTTTGGGCCGCCTGTGCTTTCAGTCGAATTTTGCCTACAGTCTCAGTCAAAATGGTTTGGACACTTTGAGGTCTCCTTGTCCCCTCAATGTTGGTGTACAAGATTTGGTGACCGAACCGCGATAAACAACTTTGAGAGGAACGAGGGGAGCACGAGAAGGGAAAAAACAGCGTTTGGTTAAAGTTTCCCAACTATTTTTGCCTGAGACTGTGTCAGGGAGGAATTTGAAGGCGTGTTGACAGATACAGAGGTTAACCTGTAGGTCGATCACAAGCGACGGGCTTTTGGTTTGCTGGGCG